TTTCTTTATGAATCTGCTCATAATTGTTACACTCATTCAAATGTTAGCATACTGGAGTGTTTATGCTCACAAAAATATGCATTTTTATCCATTTTATTGCATAACTTGGCTTGTGAAGTGTTCTGTTATGTCTATATATATCTTAAATAAATCCATTTTTATAAATGCAAATAAGTATCTTTTAAAGAAATTTTAAATTATTTTTCCAGAACTGTATTTAGAAATTTGGGTCTCTGGGTATTTATTTTAGGTTTGGGGGCTTTTGATCCTTTGGGATTTCATCTTTTTGGTATGATTGCATTCAGGACTATGCCTGTCCAAGTTGTGGCCCAAACATAAGCACAGCATATGCAGACAGTCACAGATATTTAAAATGGAATTGAAAAACTTCCTAAGTCAATGCTTTGATTTTATATCAATGAAAACTGAAATCCAGTAATTTTGACTTTCGTGTTGTTACCTAATTCTAGTTTTGTTGTAATTCTAGTTTTGAGTTTTGTTGTTCTTACAAATGATGCATTTTAAAATGGAAAAGACTCGCCTCAACCGGCCTCCAAATCCTGCTTATTCTCTGGTTTGCTTATTCTGTTCTCCTCACATTGCAAGACCACTCAGCAGCTCCTGGCACTTTCCCCCTTGTAAAGCACACCCACACCTTCTCTTCCAGCCTCACACATCTGGATTTCTTTCTCCCTACAGATGCTATGCTAAGACTTCTTCACTCACACAAGTTCCAAGATTTACCCTCAGCTCTTCCTCTTTCCCTACTCACTCTGCCTGTGTTTTTCATCTCCTGTGCTGAATGATCCCTTAGAGCTATATTTTCAGCCCAGACCTCTAAATACTCTGAACTATACCTATCACCAAAAAACCCAGCTGACTTCCAATGAAATATGCCCCTGCTTCCATTCTTATACTGGCATCTGTATCCATGGGAATCACTCTGCTGCCTCATATCCAGTTACTAGGCACTAGAGATTCTTATAGTCATCCTGTCCTTTCTTCATCCTCTCCATCCTGGTTATCTGCAAGTGTCTCTTCCTGATGAGAGCTCCAGGTTACTGGCATGGTCTGAATGTTTCTGTCTTCTGCAAACTCATAAACTGAAATCCTAACTCCAAGGTGACAGTATTAGGAGGGACAGCCTTTGGGAGATGACTAAGTCGTGAGGGTAGAGGCCTTTAAATGGAATTAGTGCCCTTATAAAATAGGTCCAAGGGAGTTCTTTACTTCATCCCCCACAGGAGGACTCAGCAAGCAAGCATCATCTATGAATCAGAGAATGGGCCTCCACCAAATAATGAATCAGCCAACACCATCATTTTCTGCTTCCCAGCCTCTCACAGGAAAATGAATTTCTGTTATGTATAAACTAACCAGCTTATGGTATTTTGTCACCACACACCAAATTGGTTAAGACAGTCATCCAAAAGTAAAGCTAGTCATGTTACTTCCTTCCTTAAAACTCTGGGAAGACTAACTGCCTGAGGTCAAAGTCTACGCTCCCTTTCTAGCAAAGTTTTTTCTCCTTTTAGAGCTCTCAAGGCTCCTGACCTGGTTTCCCCAACTCCTTTCTGGAATCACTTTGCACAATCCCTGCTACTTACTTCAGATTTGTCTGCACTTGCCTCTCACCTCTGCACTGAGCTGCTTCATGCCCCAAGATCATTGCTCTGCTGATAAAAAAAAAATTCACTTAAAAATTATTATTCAAGAGGCACATGCTGAATCCTCACTATGAGATACAGTCCACCAGGGAACAGAAAACAAGTAAACTACTGGGGAGGAAAAAGGCATGAAAGACTAATATCCCCAGAAAGTAACATTTGAATTTAGTTGTTGTAACATTTTGCTACTATAGTATCTGCAGTATCCTTTCATACTTCTTTCATCTGGGAGTTTAAAATTCCTTTTCCCTGAGATGAGATTTTTGCCCTGCATTTCCTCTTTCTAAAATTCATGATCCTAGCAAAATGCTAATCAGATTTCAAAGTCAGCATTCCTAAGCACCCCACCCCAAGTATGCCCTCTAGCAGAGCAGAGTTGACCTTTTTCCCTCCCTCAGGCCCTAATAGAAGCCTCCAGCAAGTGACATAGTATCCTAACCTTTCCCTAGGGTTGGTGCCCCAAGGCATTCCTGGGTGGAAGGAGAACCCTTAAGAGAAGGAGTAACATCCTTCTCTCTCTTATTCCTCACTAATACTGTGCAGCTCTACAGTAAATGTTTAAATAATTGCAAAAAAAAAAAATCACTTAAAAAGGGCAAATTACTTTGTACATTAAGCATAAATTTTTTGAAGGATAAGTGAGCAAAATCTGTAAAATTATTAAAGGGCCTGAAAGTACCACTTTTACAGAAATCCTAGTAATGGACATTATAAAGTATGTACATAAATACTATTATTAATAGAGCATGTACATAATACCATTATTAAAATAATAATGCTTTTAAAAGCAGACATAAGGATCTCCTATTCTAACATTAAATATAATTGCTAAAAAATTAACAAATGTCAATGGCCAGAAATAGTCACCCAGCTAAACAAATTATGGGACATTGCTTATTAAAAGATTCCTTCACTAATAGTCACAAGGAGAAGGCTGGAGGTCAACCCATTTATGTTAAACTAAAAGATATCTGTCCATATGTTAGGGGATAAAGGCTGTAAAAATTGGTCATTTATTAATTAAAAAGATGTTTTCATAATATGGGAAAAAATATTTAAGAACACCCTCCAATACTTCATCTCTTGGGGCATGGAACTCTCAGGAGGCAAGAAGAACCACTCATTTCTACTCTAAACTTCCTGACACTGAATTTGTTAGAATTTGTTGTAACATTTTAAAAATTTAAATACAAAGTATACATTATTTTACTAGTTACATTTTAATAAACATGATATATTTTAATTCTTTTTTTTTTCAAGCTGAAATATTATTCACAGCTGGGTATAGATCCAGCACCTGGAATAGGAACATAGAGCAAGCACTCAATTAATATTTGTTGGTGAATGAATCATGGCTCTACAATTATAAAACCTGTTATTCATGAGGAACAAAGTGTCTAACAGCCACTTCACAAACACACATAAAAGAAAGGTATCTTAACAGTTTGGCTAACAATCTGGGTTATATACTTTTTTGTTAAGTAAACTTTTAAAGAGCACGCAAACTCTCATCATACAAGCAATCTTCAAACTCTTGCAAGTTTACCCAAAAAGGGGGCTCCTTCAAGACTGGAGTCTGGGATATACCTGATCACACATACAAGCAATTTTTCACAGCATGGGAAACTAAAATTTCTCAGTATCCACACAATTACTACCACACCTCTCAGGCCTTATCTCTTCCCCAGCAGGGAAGAGGAGACATCTAATTCTACTTTAAACTTTTCTATCAAGAAATTTGTTACAATTTGACTTAAATTTTTAATATTTAAAACAGAAACATAACTGCTAAGTAATAAATATAGGAAAACTTTGAAGGGTGGACATAGATCTTCTATTAAAAGAAAATTAATAAGGAACAACAAACCTTCCCAGTTTTTTATCTGCAAGTCTAAAACAATGTTCCCCAAATGAAAGGCCCTGTCATTGCGATTGATGGGAGAAGCAAGATACTTGGAAGAATCAAAGATAACCAAGGTTGTAAGCTTAAGAGGCTGGGATAAAACCTGGGGGGGGGGGCTGAATGGGTTCAAGTCCAATTGTTTTTAAGGAAATATGGAATATTTAACCAGATGTTAACCCACTGGAATGGATTTACATAAATAATGGCCACTATTGAACATAGCTTCCTGACTGAAATTTCCTCCCCATGAAAAGCAGTTTGAGTATTTATTTTGGAAAAGCTGGATCCAGAAATCTACTTAATTCTAAAAATCCTCATACACTGTATTTTTTTCTCCCAATCACTGCTCTTAATTCTAAAATCATCCTTTGTGAGGGTGATTTAGTTTTTGCTAGGAAAGCATAAGGACTTAAATAGGCTGTTACCAAACACCAACAATATTTAGAAAAGGGAAGAGACTTTGAAGTACTTTACCAAATTAATATCATTGGTGCTTAGCAAGTGAGTGAATTAGCTGTGTATAAAATTAATAATCCCGAGGCTGGGGTTGTGGCTTAGTTGTAGAGTGCTTGCCTAGCACGTGTGAGGCACTGGGTTCGATTCTCAACACCACATATAAATAAATTAAATAATAAAGGTCCACTGGCAACTAAACAAAATTTTTTAAAAATTAATAATCCTTTCAGCATTCCCTCTGCAATCTTCCTCTAACCCTAAATACCTCCAATAGATTCCAATAGGTCCTGAAAAGAACATTATAAAAAAGTACATTTATGCCTGCTAGTTCTTAGGCTTCGATTTTATAAAGATTCACTACCATATTTACCATACAGCAAATATCCTATTCAACATCATAAAAGGAAGCATCATAATAGTGTCAGTAACTTTATCACAATTATTGCTTGACATTTTGCAGGAGGTCCTAACCAATGTAATAAGATGAATAAAGGAAATAAAAAGTACGAGTATCAGATAGGAAGAAAGAAAACTAATTAGTAGGTGAAATGGACAATTAGAACTGAACTGGAAATGAACTCTTTCAAGGTCTACCCACCCTGATGTGTGTTTCCCCCACTAGCAATGCCTCTCTGCATACAGATGTTTAAATTCATTGGGAAATCAACCAACAACAGTTCACTCATTAAACTTGTTACTGAAAGGGCGCGTGCCTTCACCTCTGCCCTTTCCTGCACTCTTTGAGACCAGTCACCCCGTTTCCCATTTCCTGGTGACCACAGACCTACGTTATGGAACAGGTGCTCACTAAGTACTTGATTTTGCCATTTCATGTCACTGCCGAACTAAAAGAAGAAGAGGAAGAAAACTTTGGAAACCCTCTAAAATCAGCACATGTGTTTACTCTGGCTAATAATCAGCTACCAGAGGTGGTTTTAAACAAGTAACATGTGTCTCATCGGAACGAATCCTACAGAACTTGGAAGCCACCATGAACCTGCCGCGAAGCGACTTCTGTCTGGACAGAGGGAGTAGCTGTGCCACCGGAGAACGCAGCCCATCCTGGGCTCCCGAGGGCCGGCGGCGGGGAGAATGGCGAGCGCCGCGTCCGAGCACTCCAGTCCCCGTGCCGCTGCCCGGAGGCCCGGAGCCGGGCCAGGAGGGGGAAGGGATGGACCCCAAGGGTCGCGGGGCGCCCACAGCAGCCGCATCAGGGAGGGGCGCCCGTTTCCTTGACGACACTGGAGTCCGGGATATACCTGATCACACATACAAG